TGAAAGATATTAAAGGGAAGTAAAGAAGATTTTGGTGGTGTAAGCATGGTTGTTATTAGTGATTTATTTCAGCTGGAACCTGTAATGGATAGGTATGAATCTAGACAATTCAGAATATGCAGTTCTTGCTCCTAATAAATGGCAAGATGACTTCAATATGTTTGAATTGAAAGAAATTATGCGCCAAAAGGAGAGCAAAGTGTTTGCTGAAATATTAAACAGACTTGGAGGGAAAACATACTAAGGATGATATTTTGAAACTAAAACAAAGATTAATAAAAGAAAATAGTATCCAAGATCAAATGGATGTGCCTCACTTGTTCATACAAAATGAGAAGGTAAATGAATTCAATGAAAGAGTGCATAATGCAGCAAGTGGTAAAAAGTTTTCAATCAAAGCAATAGACAGTGTTATAGGAGCTAATTCTGCTCAACTACGAGATAAAATTTTGAGTGAAATACCAGATGATCCTAGGAAAACTAAGCAAATTGCTTCAAACCTTCAATTGTCAATAGGGGAAAGAACTGAGATAGCATTAAATGTACGTACTGATGATGTCATGACTAATGGTGCTGGTAATGTTGTTAAAAAGATAAAATTGAATCAAATTGATAAACCTTCCGGTATAATATGGGTCCAATTTGACCATTCAGATGTTGGATAGAAAACCAGACATGAAAATAGACATCTTTATGTCCAAGGTATTCGGTCCACATCGACTCCAATAAAACCAATCACAACTCAGTTTGCTGTAGGTAGAAACCAAACTGCAAAGTTGTTAGAAGACCTGCTGGGGCTAAAACAATTCACTGTTCACAAGATGACACTGAACAAAAAGTTGTTGTAAATTTCAACGCTATAAGATCAATACCTCATTTACATTATGTTGGTTTGAGCAGGGTAACAGCAATTGAAGGTTTATTTATCACTGACCTATGTGAAGATAAAATAGCTGTCAATCCTCATGTGGCAGCTGAAATGAACGTGTATTAAAACTAAGTGTCACTCCTATTTATAAGACAGACCAAGTCTCATTCAAACTGTGCTATCTAAATGCACGGTCGTTGCATAAACATATTGATGATATTCGACATGATTTTAATTTTGCTAATACAGACATCAATATTTTTTCTGAAACTCAATGTATGCGCTCGGATAATGCCAGTATGTATGATATTGATGGTTACTCCTTGTTCAGAAATGATGGTCACTCTTTGACTACCAGACTCTTTGGTGGCATGGCAGTGTTTAGCAGAGTTGAATTCTTACCTGGATATCCATGTTGTTATAATATCAATGGCATTGAAATAACCATAATGAAAGCAATGATTCTTCCACATGTTTCTATAATTTGTATATATCGATCAACCAGAATTCCAGTACAATTGTGTGCGGCATTAGATGAGGTTTTGATGTTTTGTACTTCTCAATTTAACATCTTCATTGGTGATTTTAATAAGAATAGAAGGCCTTTAGATACATTTTTTATCAATGATCGTGACTATATGCAATTGGTGTCTAATGTAACCACAGACAATTGGACATTAATAGACCATATTTATACAAATCTACCAGACTCACAAGTTAGTTCATACATTTTAGAAACTTGTTTCTCTGATCATAAAGCAGTGTGTGCCTTAATTAACTGTTTTCACTGAAGCAAACTTAGCAATATCATGATAAATAGTTAGGGGGCGACGCTCTTTAAAAAAACCCTAAGGCTCTATCATTACTTGTTTGATCGGAATGAAACTTGGCACAATTATTCTAAGCAATATTCCGCATCGATTGACGGAGTTCGAATTTTTACTTTTGACCGTTGAAGCAAGTTACAAGCAATTCTTGACTATTTGTGCAGCAAATAATATATACATATCATTAATATTCAGCCTATATATCATTAATATTCAGCCTATATATAAGAATACACAAACGATTAGAAATGCATTGTCCTCTCTATTGTTGTAAATACAATGCAGTTCAAAAACTCGGTCACACAGTTCCTGGTCCACTATAGTACGATCGTACTTGTTATATTGGGACATTTAACATCTCCACAAGCATATTGTTATTACATGAAGAACAGGTAACCATGTCCTCAGTGTACAGCAACACACCGACCAGTCAGGAGATTTTCTTTTATTTAGGGCACATCGAAATTAATACCTCATACGTTTTCAATTTTGCTATACTCTGTGGATTCATTGGTATTTAAATATTTTTCATCATCAAAAATCCGCACCTTTAGATTTCTGAAATTATAACTCTTTCCTGTATGTATTCCATCAATGTGGTTCTCCCGTACAACAAGCTTTATAGACTCGGTTTGATCGGCAACCAAGCAGCCTGATTTGGACCTTGTTTTTTCATTTTTCACAATGAACTGTTTTGTTTCCTGTTTTTTGATGACTTTAACTTTCAAATCCACCACTTCATATGAATTTTTACAATGCTGCTTTGACGGTACACAGGTTACTTGACAATGCTTCGTTGTACTCAAACTTAGGCAAGGATGGCATAACCTTTCCTTTCTTTGTTATGGTATATTCATCTAATCCTGCATGGAATCGTTTGGTAACAGATGCCTTTAACACCAGAAATTTTTACCGGCGATTTATTCTGATACGCTTGTTGAATGTTATGCGTTTCTCTGGCGCGTAGCATACAGCACACACTTTAGTGTTCTCGTCAGTTTGGATATGACAGTAAAAAAACGTTACTTTAAAATTTTACGAAGCGGTTACTTTGCTTAATAAGTGCACATACCCCTCAAGGTTGTCTGCAATAGAAAATATATTATTAATTTTATCTGCACAAGCGGATAAGCTAAATACAATTGAGTTTTGAGACAGTTACTTGCCGCCATTCCAACGACAACGAGGTAATAACATTTCACATTTCATTTGTTGATGCATACATGTTTAAACACATTGCATCGAATGCCATTTTAAAGTCAGATAAGTTATGTCTATAATCGATACCTGATTGGCCTTTGTCCTTTTTGGTTCTGGTGGAATCCATGGCATGGAATGGTTGCATATCTATTTGTATGTAGTTTCTGTGTACTGTGCACTTGTTCAGTTGTAAATATTGCCTTGCTATAAAAGTTGGCTACAAAACACCAACATGTGCGAAATCAGATTTTATAGTATAGCCACAGTCATATAGAATTAGGAATGCTGATTGGCTAACAAGATGGGTGTTCACAATCAGGAATCGTACAGAGATTTGGCCACACGCGTGGCGCAGAATGCATAATGTTCGAAACTCAGAAAAATGTTTTGTTTTTGATGTTTGTATGCTACGAGAACCTTATAAAACCACAAACAAACATAGAAGAAAGATTATATAAGTATTTTATAGCATGATCTCACTTACTTAAAACATTTTTGGTGCCTTGCTAGCGAATTGTTGTCATTCTGGGTTTTCATGCACAGTATTGATTGCACTTTTTCGCCACCAAAACTGTATTTTATTCGTTGTAAAACTCCATTTGGCCCATAAAAAACATCAAGGAAATCTTGAAGGTTCTTCCTACTGTATATTTTACCATAGAAAAGCATTATTCATCGTTGTTTTGGCCTCTTCCGGACGTTTTTCGAGTGCTGGACGCAAGCCACAAAAATATTGTTTTCGAAAAAAATAGCTCATTTATCCTTTCATGTCCTCTCTAACGTTCCCTGGTGTCTGAAATACCCCCAAACTACCCCCCAACGACCTTATTTCACCTTTTTTAGCCCTCAAAAACCCATTTTATCACCTCATTTTCGTGTCATTTTGCCACGCATGTGCGAGAAAACCAACCGTGACTTGTATTAAACCAAACTAATACAAGCACCAACCGTGCTTGTATTAGTAAGTGTCCTTTATAAGGTGTATTCCCCTTGACTTCGATTAGTTATTTTTCCTAAGGTGACTAAGGCTTGCCATTTATATAGGCCACGCCCGACTAGTGATGCGTAAATTTAGCAATATAAAAATAATTAACATATAACGTCACACTCCTCGTCCAAGGACAAAGTCCTTGCTACCTATAAACCTACTAATTGTTTATTCAGTACTTATTAGAAGTACAAGTTCTCCGATTGGACGCATGAAAGTCTTCTTTTCTCCATTTCGATATACAGATACTTCTGCCTTTCGTACTTTTCCGTCTTTGCTCTTGATTGCCTTGGTGACTCTTCCCATGGGCCAGTGGTTCCTGTGTGCTTCGGTTTTCATGAGAGCAATATCGTCGATTTTGAGGTTAGGGTGGCGTTTGTTCCATTTAGACCGAGGTTGAAGAGATTGAAGATATTCGTTCTTCCAGCGAATCCAGAATTGGTCGGCTAGGTACTGCGCCCTCCTCCAACGTCGTCGAGAGTATAGATCTTGGTGAACGAAGATACCAGGCGGAGGTGGAAGTGGTCTGGTTTTCATAGTGAGAAGCATAGCAGGGGTTAGTGGTTGCGATTCTTCGATTTCCGAAGGAAGTGCAGCAATTGGACGACAATTGACTATTCCTGTAACCTCTGCCATTAATGTAACAAGGAGCTCGTGTGTGAGTTGGGAAGATCCAAGCTTGTGTAACATACCATCAAGGACTCGACGTATGGTCCCGATTTGTCGTTCCCATATTCCTCCAAAATGGGATGCATGGGGCGGATTAAAAATCTATTCGCAGTCTTGCTCGGTAACGTACTTCTCGATTTTCTTGAGATCGGCTTCCTTTAAAGCAGCGTCTAACTCGGATTTCCCCCCGATAAAATTAGTTCCTTGATCGCATCGAAGGATCGAAACTGGACCACGAATTGAGAGAAAGCGACGCAGAGCACAAATAAACGAGCTAGCATCCATTGTCTCTAAGACCTCGATATGAATTGCACAGCTATTTAGGCAAGTAAACACGAGCCCCCATCGTTTGAAATTTGCTGCTCCGCCTCTTAGCTTTCGAGTGTGTATCATCCATGGGCCGAATATATCAAAACCGACGTTGGTAAAAGGGGGTGGAGTCTCCAGTCTATCGGTTGGTAGGTCTGCCATGTGTTGTGTGAGCATCTTTCCTCGTAGCTTTCTACACGTTACACAAGCTTTCAGCAATTTTGAAATCATACGACTAGCTCCTACAATCCAGTATCCGGCTTGGCGAATTGCGCCACTAGTAATTTGTCGACCTTGATGGTGGACCTTTTCATGGAGGTGGGTAATTACTAGTTGTGAAAGATGATGACCTTTTGGTAGAATAATTGGGTGTTTTTCGTTGAAATCTTGGTTCGAACGGCGAAGGTGACCTCCGACTCGCAGAACGCCACAATCATCAAGAAAGGGGTCTAGACGATACAATTTCGATGTTTTCAGATCGTTCTTGGTTTTGTTTTTTTCGGGTTCTGTGGACTGAAGAAGGGCAATTTCAGATGGAAAACCTTTGCTTTGGACCGTTTTGACCATAACAAATTCTGCTTGCCTCAACTCAGCGGATGTAGGTAACCGAAGAGGTTGTTGGATGGAATTCTGACGACTGTTGGTATGGGAAATTCGACATGAATCGGTGGCATTAATTTTTCCGAGGATTTTTCGTTTTTCTCTGAATCTTCTTACGATGACGATGAGATTGGCAATAGCTTGACGCAAAGGTGACCATTTAGAAAAACGCGTGAATCTTTCCGATTTCAAAGTCGTGGCTACTGTCAGTTTCATGGTGTGGACAACAACATGAGGCCGTACTTCTGGGTCGTTATCGTCTAATAATGATTCTTCGTTGTTGTCTGTGGTTTCGGCAGCATCGCGTAGAAACGTAGGGCCTTCAAACCAGTATGAACTCTTTAAGGCACTCGCAGGTGTACATCTGGTGGCGAGATCCGCTGGGTTGTCGGTAGTTTCAACGTATCTCCATTGTGATGGGTTTGATAACTTTCTATTGATTTGAACTCTATTGGCCACATACACATAAAATCTTCTGCTTTCGTTTTGGATGTATCCCAAGACCACCTTGGAGTCGGTGTAGAAGACTACCTTAGCAACGGTTACCAATTTAAGTTCTTTCGTTATTCGTTCGACAGTCTGGGTTGCCAATACCGCGGCACAAAGTTCTAATCGTGGGATCGTAGTTGCTTGTCTTGGGGCTAGTTTTCCCTTGGCAAATACGAGTGATACGTTAACTTCGTCTTGTGCGTTGGTTTGCTTTAGATACACAGCAACACCGACTGCTTCTTTGCTTGCGTCTGAGAATGCATGTATTTCGTTTCGAGTAACTTTACCAAAGCCATACGCGTGGTAGCATCTTGGGATGTAGATGTTTTCTAGTGTGGTAAGAGAATTACGCCAACTTTGCCATTCCCCATTCAAATTCGCTGGTAGTGGATCGTCCCATCCTAGAGGTGTGTCTTCTGTACGGTCTTTGTTTCCCATAGCAACTAGCTTACGAAGAATAAGTTTACCCTTTAACGTTACGGGTGTGGCAAAGCCAAGTGGATCGTACACCGAGTTGACGACTGTTAGGACTCCACGACGTGTATAGGGCCTTTCCGAGACGGATACTTGATACGTAAAGGCATCATCTTGCAAACTCCAATACATCCCTAAGGATCGTTGAACTGGTAGAGGCTCGTTGTGTAAGTCTAAGTCCCTGACATTCGTTACTCGATCTTGCTGAGGGAGCGCTTCCATCAATGTAATCGAGTTCGACACGATTTTGTGGAGTCGAAGGTTTGCTTCAGCCAACATAGCTTGGGTCTTCTTTACCAACTCTATGGCAATTTCCGGGGTGGAGCAGGATGTCAATCCATCATCCACGTAGAAGTTGTCTCTCACGAACGCCTTCGCGTCATAACCATACTTCTCCTCGCCCTCGTCAGCTGTTTTCCTTAAACCGTAAGTAGCAATGGCGGGACTACAGGTGTTACCGAACAAATGCACAATCATGCGATATTCAATGACATTCTTTCCAGGGTCGTTTTCGTCAAACCAGAGGAAACGTAACATGTCTCTATCTTCGGGAGAAACATGAAAACAATGGAACATCTGTTCTATATCGCACATAACAGCGATGTTCTCTAAGCGGAAACGAATCAAAACTCCACACAGGCTGTTTAGAACATCAGGACCAGGGAGCAACTCCATGTTTAATGATACACCTTGAAACTTGGCAGAAGAGTCGAAGACTACTCAGATTTGGGTTGGTTTTTTGGGGTGATAAACACCAAAATGAGGAAGATACCAAACTTTGCCGTGTTTAGGTTTGTTTTCGGTATGACTAGGAAGTGGATTCTCAACTTGGGGCAGTGGTGTACAGTATGGCCTCGTTTTAGTAGTTTGTCCATAAATTCGAAGTAGTCCTTTTTCATTTGGGGTTTTCGGTCGAAGGAGCGGAGCAGGTTCTGGAATCGTTTCGCTGCTTGTTCTCGATTATTCGGTAGATAAACGTTAGATGATCGAGGGCATCTCCCAGTTCCCCAGCTCGTTTTTATGCACTCCATTGTCCATGATTTCTAAGAATCTTCGATCATCTATAGAAAGTCCTGGTTCATCATCGTGGGTCGTAGTATGAAATATCTCCTCTAGAGTCTCGGGTTTTTAAAATACTTGTTTAAGGACAAACACATTCGGACATTGGGTGAATTCATGGCGTACAATGTTACAATGAGAGTGGAGTTGGTCGTAAGTTTCGTACTGTGGTTGGTTGTAAGGGCCACTTTCGGTGGATATGGTAGTACGATGTGTCGAGACGTGAACCGCTCCGTCAAGGCGATCTAGACATACTTGACCGCAAACAGTCCAACCTATTGACAGTCTTTGAGCCCATGGAGCGCCTCTGGGACCGTTCCTGAACTCCCTAACCTTGAGAAGCTCTGGTGCATCTCGGCCGATTAGGATAGAAATTTCTGCGTTCGAGTCGAATGGTGGGATTTCTTTGGCAACTTCTCGTAAATGGGGAAATTTCTGTACCATTTCTTGTGTGGCAATTTCACGTTTATCTTGTGGGATGTGGTCACATTCGATTAAGCTGGGCAACTTTGAGGAATTTCCATTTACCGATGTTGCGATTAATCCATGAACACGTCGTCCAAATTTCACTTCCTTAGAACCATGGCATGTAGATAGGAAATATTTTTCCTTGCTACTATTGATACCCAGTTTATTAGCCAAATCAGGGGTGATCAAAGAGGCGTTACTCTGATCGTCGACCAACGCGTATACCCTGTGGATATCGTCAGGTTTATCTTGGAGGGAGATGTCCAAGAGAACAATTTTGCTACACGAGAGACCACCCTTATTACTGTTGCATAATTTAGTGCACTTCGAGTCTACCTCCTCGCCATCGTCCTTATTATCTGTTTTATCCATTTTGTCTCTATGGAGCAGTACCAAGTGACGGTCACTACCACATTTCTCACATTTGACGATAGCTTTGCAATTTTTGGCAATATGTTTGCCTTCAAGACCTCGGAAACAGTGTCCTGCCTTTTTCAACCATTCCAGTCTTTTCTGCAATGTCTTCTTGCCGAACCCCTTGCACTCCATCAAGGTGTGACCTTTACATTCGTGAAATTGACACTGTTTCTGATTCGAGTTACCAATTTCTTCCACGCTTCCTTTTAGAACTGTGTCTTCTTCAGGTGGATTTCGAAAGGTGAACCTCTTTCTCTCTCCTCTTTGAACGTCTTTGACCACGATATTTGGATGGTTCTTCAGTCGTGCCTGTTTCTCCATCAATGTTGCGAAGATATGAAAGGTCGGATAAGCGTCGTGATTTTCCAAGGCATAGTCCACAACTTGCTTTTCCCACTTATTTCGAAGAGTTGCTGGTAGTTTCGATAAAATAGGCTGAATAACGTTCGGGTAATTTAGACATGTCAGACCAGGCAATTGTTCTATCTGGTAGTCTACATCTGCACATAGATCAGCAAACTCTTGCAGTTTCTTCTTATCTTTGTCCTCGAATTTAGCAGCGTCTTTTAATCGTCTTAATAGTGCGTGTGTAATCGCGGCAGGGTTTCCAAAACGTCTCTCCAGCTCGTCCCATAGGTCTTTCAGCAACTTGGATGGATTGTTCTGTTGGCGTTTTCGAAAGCTGTCAACTAGGTTCTGCGGAATTCCTTTTGTATACTTGTGTAGATAGTTGATCTCTTGTTCCGGCGAAATCTCAGCATCACAGATCATTGCCATAAACGCGTTCTTCCATGGATGGAACATTGTGACATCGCCACAAAAGACGTCGGGATGGCATTTCGGCAGGCTGTGACGAACAAGATTAGCAGCTAGTTGTTTATTCGTGGCTGCAATAGCCGTCATACTTTGGTGTATCGTGGGTATCTCTGCTTCCAGTTTCGAGATGCTTTTTCTTCGGGAAATATATTTAAACTGGGGTACAACGTTATCTTCGACTTTGTCTTCCCATCCCTGGCCGTATGTCGTTTCTCGATCTAGTTGGATTGTCTCTTTTGGCTGTATTTTCTCCCTATAAATAGGTGCCTTTTGTCGTTGATCAAACACCCATGCGCATGTTCGTTGACTGTTGTTAGATTTCCCGCTTCTTTTGGACGATTCTGAATCAGACTGGTCTGCTGAATTTAGCTCTTCTTGTTGAACGGATTGCTCGATTGCGGTCAATTTGGCGTTAGCCACCGCTGTTAGCTTTTTTGCCTTGAGTATGGCAATTTCATGATCGTGTTGTGCCTTGAGTTCTGCTTTTCTCCGCTCTTCGTCGGCTTCGAACTGTCTTCTCGCAATTTCTTTCTCGGCGATTAACAAGTCGTACTCTGCTTGTTGTGCGGCCGCGGCAACGTCTGCGACAGCTTTCATTCTACGAGCCGAACTTGTTGACGAGATTCCAGATTTTATCATTTTATTCAATCTTTTTGAACCCTCAGAAGTGGCCACCGAGATATTCTCTTCCGGAGCACCACTAAAGTTACCGACCGCGTTAGCAATTGCATCTCTGGCTCGATTCATCCATGTAGTTCCAGTTTCGCGAATCTCGGGCGCAATGTCGTTCGATATTCCCCACCGGTCTGCTGTAAAAAGGTTTTCCATGTCAGTTATAGTGTTTTGATATGGCGTGATAATCGTTTCCAATGATCCCAATGCTGCCCCAAGAGCTGTCGCCTCAGACACATTGTTTACTGCTTCAATAGCCTTTTGAACTTTAATTGATTCCTTTTTGAAAGCTGCTACCTTTGACTCAAAAGTATTACAATACCCTCTGTACGTGGGTGATCTCCTACGAGGTTCATCTCTGGTTAATGGTCTCGTCGCACCCAGCTGTGTTCTAAAGTTCGATTCTGATTCCCCGAGCTGTGAGCGAAGCTCCCTTGATTCTCCACTTTTTCTTGACATATCAAGTTTTGCATATAGTCTTTATGCATGAATAGTCCCAATTTCGATTGAACTCGATGATTCAACGTATAAACTTTTCACTGTCGCGTCGCGTACGGGACGGGAACGCAGTGTCAACCAGACGAAACGCAGAACACAAAGTGATTTTATGAATTGGATTATACCATATAATCATACAGCCTCTGTTATCGCTAACATACACTTACATCATTATTTCGTCGGTGAAAACTAAAGACAATAGTCAATGCACACAATAAATACATGAAGGTGTGAACTCATTAGTAATAGTGATGAACTTACGTTTATACGTTGGTAATATCGACATATACAAAGATTGTCCCCGTGCTTGTATTAGTAAGTGTCCTTTATAAGGTGTATTCCCCTTGACTTCGATTAGTTATTTTTCCTAAGGTGACTAAGGCTTGCCATTTATATAGGCCACGCCCGACTAGTGATGCGTAAATTTAGCAATATAAAAATAATTAACATATAACGTCACACTTGGAGACACAAACATTCAAAAATGCAACTATATTTTACTAATTTACAGAATTAAACACTACAATACTATCATATATTTATAATATTAATATATATATATATATTAATATATATATATATATATATATATATATTCTTAACTAACATGATATCTGGGCTATTGGCTATACAGGGTGTATCAAAGAAAGGAGACCTTTAGAAATCAAACTATTGTTAAAATTTGAATGCCTTTTCAATTGCATTTGCACATATGCTGAACCGTAGTGCGTGAAATATTGATGGTGTGCATGCATACATTAGAAAAAGGAGACCTTTAGAAAATGAATTGACGTTTGTACACAAGATTGTCTGCTCCTGGGAATTTGAAAATAACTTTAAATAGCATAAAGAAAAATAACAACCCAAAAATATTCAAATGACTAAGCACAAAAGCGATAACAGTATGCATGGTAGATTGTTTTAGCTGTTCCTTCAAAACATGAACAACTGAATATTTGCCATTAATTTTTAACACATGCGTGCAAGTATTAGGGCTGTTCACACGAGTTAGAATTGACTTTGAATCCGGAATGGCTCAGCATTCCATGTTACAAACCCTGGCTATTAAAATGTTTACATGTGCACCTCAGCTATACTGCGAGTCTGGGTATAAGTTAAGACTACAAAAACTCTTTGCTCCTAAGTCAGTTGGACCATTTTTGTACTAGTAGTGTGCTTAGTCATTTAAATATTTTTGGGTCGTTATTTTTCCTTAAGCTATTAAAGTTATTTTCAAATTCCCAGGAGCAGACAATCTTGTGTACAAACGTCAATTCATTTTTTCAAAGGTTCATTCAATTCATTCAAAGGTCTCCTTTAGTCTAATGTATGCATCAATATTTAATGCACTACAGTTCAGCATATGTGCAAATGCAATTGAAAAGGCATTCAAATTTTAACAATAGCTTGATTTCTAAAGGTCCCTTTTTTTTTATACACCCTGTATATCTAATATGTGACAAGGACATTATATCATGTTACCACTTCGCAGATACTTGTACGCTTAGTGTACCTATTTTTGAAGACATGCTAGTAATATTTGTGGCTACGCAGCTACCCAGTGAATGAAATAGTCTTACATATTCTAGCTGCCTATCAACTTCAAAAAATAATGAGGGATATATATAGATGATGTAATTAGTGAGGAAGCTATATTTTTCAGTGGCTACGCGGCTACACAGCTACGCAGTGAGTTTTTGAAGAACAAGAGATTGATGTAGATGAGGTCATTAGGAAGGGAGCTA